CTTCGGACCTTATGAATGTTATATAGATAGATGTCCCCTCACTTGCTCTTTCTAATGGCGAAAATCCGAGCTCAATAGCTATAAGCGATCGAAAGTTATTCAAAAAATGGTGGAGGCTATTTTCAAAAAAATTCGACATTAGTAATTTTCATATGGGTACATTCGACTGAACACTCCACGTGCTTTTTTTCGTATAATATAACAAAAAAAGTATATATAATCGGCATTTTTGTATCTTTCATTTAATCCAATCTTAGTCTACCAAAGCATAATATAAATCCACACAACGTTGTCGGTATTTTGTTGCTGATTTTCTAATATTGTATGTTATGACCTATATAGAAGTGAAATTAAAATATTCATAACTTTTGAAGAAAGGGCCCTGAACCCAAATCCTTTTAGGGTTCTTACTAGGGCACTATGTAGTATCTGTGGACAAAAGATCACTAAAAATCTGAGGGTTACACCTGGAGAGGTTCCCTCGTAAGTCGATTCAAATTCTTTATGATTTACTATATTATTCATTATCTATACATTTATTTATTTAGTTTGCTTTATCGATTTCGTTAATTTACTATTGGCACTATTTTATCAGTTATTATTATTACCATCTTATATGAATTGTTGATTAAATCCTATTGTTTTCTGATTTATATTTATATTGTCATAATAAAACAAGATTTAATAGACCCATTGTAATCAGTTTATGGAGTTCATTCAAAAATTTCTTAAGAGTTTTCTTGTTTTTGTTTATTCTCGATAGATAAATACAATATGAAATCAATCAATTTTTCTTATAATCATATTGTTTCAGTATACATGACTTTCTTGTCTTCTAATAAAAACAATCTTCTGCTATCATTCAATTATCATCATAATATTAGTATATAAAAGAAAATAGACAGACAAGCATATCAAATCTATGAAAATTAGGCTTATTCAGACTTCTCGATTCTAGAACAAAAAGAAAAAAAAACAAGCTTTCGCGAAATCGATGTATCAATCCTTTCCCAGTCAATCTTTAGTTGAAATGTAACAAAAAAAAAGATTACCTGTTCTTTTTCTTCATCGAGTATTAAAGATTCTTCTGTTCTTTCCCATAAACGAATAGATCGATCATGTGCAGCAGTTACAATATGCATTCCATTATTTGTTATTGACATACAACGAATTTCACCACAATGACCCTACATACAAAAAAAAAAAAAATCTCTCTCTCAAATGTTTTTTTTCGTTGAAAATAAAAAATAAAAAAAAAAAACGAACATCTAATGTTTGTATATGAAGAAATTTATCAGCATCCCAATATTTTAATCTATTATCTTTACTAGTTGAAAAAAATAAATGTGTTTTTGGTACAAATTGTATTGCTGTTATTGTATCATCATGTGCAAATAATGAACGATGACAATCACCAAAATCTAAACCCCAAATTTTAATATTACGATCACTTGAACCAGTTATAACAAGACGATTATCTGATGATATATCAAGACAAAGTACAGGTTGAGAATGTCCATATAATGAAAGAAACATCTGAAATTTTCAATAAACAAATTTTCAAACAAAAAAAAAAATTTTGTTTTGTTTTGTTTTACTTGACATGAATCTATAAAGAATACTTTGACAGTTGTATCCATTAATGCCGCAACAAAATATCGATTATTAGGACTAAGTAAAAAAAAAGAAAGAAATCGATTCATTTTTTAATAATAGAAGAAAATTTTATTTACGTAATTTTCAATGCAAGAACATCTTCACCAACATCAAATGAACGTTTTTGTTCGAATGATAAACGTTTTCTCACCTAAATTAGAAAATATTTCTTTTGCCTACAAATATAGTTCGGCTAAATCCTGATTACAAACAGCAATCCGAGGTCGACAGACTTTAATGTAAAGAATTTACGATAGAAAGCAACAGTTCTTTATTAGAGACCAAAAAACCAAGGCTTTTTTTTAGACTTTTCTGCTTTTTTTGCTATTACTTCCATTTTTTTATTATTTGCATGTTTATATTGTGTCACAGATGGAATACTTCAATCTGCTGTATACGCAAATATTACTTCATAAATCAAGCAAAGTAAAATCGTTTGACATGACATTTTTATTGATGTTAAAAGCAGCACTCTGCTGTCGAATGAGGAGTCTAACATCATAAGACTTGTTTTCTATTGTCCTCGACTAAAGAAAAACTATATGTTGACCTTCTAACTCCTCCGCACGAAGGCTGATCAAATCTTGATTAGTCCTTGGGATTAGAGTTCAACATGGTCTATTTGTGCTTAAACTATGAGACTAAAAAATTAAAAATTAGGTAGCAGGACTTTTTTGTGATCACTGTATATGAACATTAGTATAGAATGTTTTTTAAAAATTGTGCATCATCAAATTTCATATTTTTCTGTCAAAAAAGCAAAAATAAAATATTAAACACAAATATTGTTTCTTAAAATTCCACATATTATATTGTTTTCGTTTCCAAAATATTTAGATATATTACACTCAATTGAAGAAAGTGGCTCATTGATTAGATTCAATCCATAGGAGGAAAAAATGTAAAATCAAATCAGTTCAATTCATATACGTCGTAAGATATTTCTCAAATCATTTCACATAGATTTTGAAAGATTTTATAATTCAACTCAATATATCGACTCGACTCGACAAACTAACAGTTTCAATTCAATTCATGAATTGAATTGTGAAGCTCTGAAATTGATATCTTAATCGTTTTTTTCAAGCAATATTTTACTTTAAGCTTTCAGAATAATTTTTTAGCGAAACATTCTTCAATATCGTCCTAAGTAGATATGTAGCAAATTCGAACTCTGGCTTGACATCTAGAATGAACCATTCGAATTTGGACTTCGAAACAATTCAACTAGTTAAGACAATATCAAGGCTTCCGGTAAACTGCCCAAACATTGCGTGAGACAATCATGGAAGTGCCCTAAGGTTCAGTTAAGTTTGCATTCGAGTATTTTTGAATATTGACTTTGTTTTTAGAATGGTTGCAGACCTTCGATTTTCAAATCATTTAGTCCACTATATGTAGATATACCATAGACAAGCCTGAAATCCTTTCTTTTGTCTTACTTCTGCTTCGTTTTATTAATTAACTATAAATCATCACCAATTCGAACATTCGAATTTCATTGCATGCCTATTTCTAAGGATATAAAGGGTATCTATCAGCAGTTCAAAAGAGAAAAGAACAAGATAATAGAAAGAAAACTCATGTAATTTACATGAAAACTTGCTATAGTCCGTTCAAAAAGTCCGTGCGTGTGACTGTTTTTTGAATAACTTGAGAACGGAAATAGCTAGAGACCTGCGGTTTTCACCAATCGAAAGAGGAGGAGTTAGGACGTCTTTTTCTCCTATAATGTGTCAGACGAAATTCTTTTAAACCTGATCATCTTTGAAAAATATAGAAAAGAATGCATGAAAGTGACATACAATACACATGAAGTTTCGATTATGACCTGTGATTTAGATAGAAAGACTTCAGATCTATAGTTCAAGATGCAGTGCAATTGACTCTCTAATTGCATTCTAATGTTGACCAAATCAAATCATGTATTTACATGCGCAAATAATAGGGAATTTTACTGATATTTTACTACGTTTTTGCATTTTTTGTCATAAGAGCTGGATACTTCGATGAAAATGTAATGAAACGCAGGAAAGTGTATTATATTTTGAACTATAGATCTGAAGTCCCTCTATCTAAATCACAGATCATAATCGAAACTTCATGTGCATTGTATGTTACTTTCATGCATTCTTTTCTATATTTTTCAAAGATGATCGGATTTAAAAGAATTTCGTCTGACACATTATAGGAGAAAAAGACGTCCTAAATCCTCCTATTTCGATTGGTGAAAACCGCAGATCTCTAGCTGTTTCCGTTCTCGAGTTATTCAAAAAACAGTCACACGCACGGACTTTTTGAACGGACTATAGTTGCAGATGCATTTAAATTCTATTACTCCACATACCTAACCATAAAGTTTTTCTGTTTTACTTATTCATTTCTTCAATCGAGAAATAGTAATAACGAAAAAATAACGTATTATTTCTCTCTTTTTCCCTTTCATCATGATTAGTGGGTGAAC